ATACCTGTTGTTGCAACACAATTAAGGTGGTTTTCCCTGGGTCACAACCATATTTTTATCTTCTCTGAACTGCTAGTGATCTGTTGGTTTTTTTTTTTTAAATTTGAGAAAGTCCTTGTAAAAGTGTTCTAAGCCCAAATTAAAAATAGAAATAAATTAATGCCAGAAGATTATATAGAAGAATTTGAAGGAAAAATTGAAGGAAATGACCCTCTCCAATGATACACAGAATTTAATGGATACTGGTGGAACTGGAATAAAAGCCAGCAGAGTTGCACACACCATTCCAGCGTGGCTGGAGGTAAGTTAAAGGAACAAACAAAATCCTGGCGCCAGCCAGGACAGAAACGAAGCACTTAGTCCAGCACAGGACATTAGACAGTCCAATAAAAGTCCATGGTTCACAGAACTGAAGGCAGCTGCAATCTCTAATAACATGAGTAGAGTCAAGGACCCTGCACCAGAGTTAATAAGCAGATCATTACAGCCTCTGACCAAGGCAGTCTCCACACTGACCTAATCGAAATCCAGAATGAACATTATCCTAACGTGCATGATGAACCAATTAGCCCAGAGCTGGGCTGCTTCCACCTGCTCTACTATCTCAATTTAGAATGGTAAATTAAAACCAAAAAGGGATGAGAGAACATGTCAGAGGTTGTTTAACATGGGAAGATGGCACAGACTTTAAGGGAAAGCGGGTTCCTCCGTGGCTGCAGCTCAGTGCTGCCAAACAGACCAGTTTTTTATAGATCCCTGTGCTCCCACTGAGATGGGATGGCCAGTCCCCAAAATAAAAGATGACTCATCTAAGGCAGGGATGTAAATTAACAACTGTGATGCCTGAAGGTTCTGCTCTGTGGATCTCTAAATTCTCCTCCTTCCTGAGGATGTTTTCCATTTCCCTTTCTCAGGGACAGTTGTGACCATCCAGGTCTAGGGGAAAATTCACAAAGGATTTGGTCACTGTGCCTTGATGAGCAAAGGGCTCGTGGGAGAATTGGAAGTCTGCCTTTGTCCTGTACCTCTGGGTGACCATCAGGCAGGACAGGATTTGAGCCTTGTCTCCTGAAAAACCTGTGTGTTTTGTTCTGGTGTTCAGTTAGAAACCAGATTATAAACAATCTGCAAAGTGAGTTTTTTGTCTTGCTCTTCTGTCTCATACTCCTGGCTACACTCTGGGGTAGTTTCAGTAAAAGGAGGGTAACTTACTTTTGCTAATTCTTAGCAATTCATTAACCAGTGCATCGTATAAGGAAAGCAGGATGGAAAAGTGGGAAAATGTTGTCCTTATTTTACTGTGTAAAATAAGTTAAGAGTGGGCCTTTGCTACTTGAAGAAACATTTCAGTCCTTCCATCTGTTTGTGGATCCACCCATGAGCATCAGAGTTGTGTGTAACAGAGGTTTGAAGAGTTCAGAGATGGGTGATTACCACAACTCCCATGTGCAGACAGATTTAAAAGGTCCTGACAGCTCAGTGCAGAAGGTAAATACACAGGAATGTAACAGAATTCAACCTAAGTGTAACACAGGTGATACTTCTTACTTTCTTTTAGGAAAATAGTTAGAAGGAAAAAATAACCCACAGTCTAGAAGTGACTTGGAAAGACAGCTACCACATAATATTTTTAACACCAAAACTGGCTACTAAGGGGATATTTCTGGATATCTCTTTTAGTACCATTCAGTAAAAGGGAATTTCTTGCTTCTTTCCAAAAGTTATTTGTTGTATTTCCCTTTTAGAGCAACTATTTGACTGTTTAGACTCTGACTTGGCAGGTTTTGTTCCTAATCTTTCTTTAGTTCTGGTTTAATATTCATTTGGTAAACCTTTTACTCAAATACTAAAGGGTTTGTGCCGACTGTATGAGTTCCTGCTGAATATAATCTAGATTAATGTGTCCCAGCTCACCTTGCACACACAACAAAGTTGATGTCACCTGTGGGTGCATGTGCTTGATATTTGGTACCAATGAATGATCTACTAGTAGATTATTATATGTATTCCATATTATACTGATTTTTCAAGGCTGAAGTTTACATTGTTCATAGATTTTACTGAGAGCTGGGGAAAAGCATGGGAGGAACGGCCACAAATAAAAACATAATGACTCAAAATCTTAGTCTTAGAATGTTGTTCTACATTTGAAGGGCAGATGTTCCCTGCTCTGCAAACTGCCCATAGCAGTGGCCTCTTGCCTCACACAGAGCTGCTGACTCCGTGATTTACTGAGACTCTCGTGACTCCGCACGTTTGTTCCTTTGTGGGTTTGGAGGAGAGTTTGAGAATAAGATAAAATAAGAAGAAGTAGGAAAATTCAAGTCTGTAATGTATCACTTCAGAAGTCCTGGTGCTCTGCAGTGCAGGTTTGGGTTTGGGGTGGGGGTTGGAGGGGGGACAGAGGACCCTGAGCACTCAGAGCTCTGCCAGCCCCGAGTACAGACGATCCCTGTTGTCCCTGTTATTGGAATCTGCTGAAGGACACGAGTGCCAGGATGGTTGTGGAGGCTGACATGTGAAATAGGTGGTGAGGAACAGGGAGCACAAAGAGAGACTCCAAGCCCCCGAGTACACATACATATCCTGGAGTCCTGGCTTTAGCTGGGAAATGGGAAAGGTTTTAATTTAAAATTTGATTTAAGGGAGAGAGACTTTTTCATTAGCGTAGCAGTTACTCACTCAGTTGGGAGCTATTGGAAGAAATTAAAGTACATTTGGCAATCTATATGCTTCAAGCAGGAATGGGATCTATCTATCTATTTATCCACCTTTCTGCCTAATCACATAAATTCCATGATATCCAGGGTTACATTTTCCCTTTCCTCCACGGCTGCAAAATCTGACTGCCTGAAAACCCCACTGAAAGGAGAAAGTTATTACCAATGTCAGCCAGTCCCTTAAGTTTTTTTTCTACTGTTAGCATAGGATGGGTTTTCTCTGAATCAGCTGAAAAAACACACTGGAAAACACTTTTTACTGGCTTTTTTTTTTTCTTTCTTTCTTTCCAGTGACATTTTTCAGAGAGAACAAAAAAAAAAAAAAAAAAAAAGGAAAAACAGGCAAAAAGAAAGAAATGTAAATCAAAAATTTAAGACAAAAAACAGGGGAGAGTGGTTTGGGGAAGTGAGTGTTGTGTACATAGCCCTGTTTTAATATGCAGTTACCTCCTTTCTCAGAGAGAGTAACATAAAGTTTTGCAAGTTGTGGTTGGTTTTTTTTTCCTCTTTTGTCAAAAAAAATTATGAAAGTGTCGCTTTTCCTTTGCAGTTAATTCAGGAGAGATCCTCAATTCGAGCAGGGCACATTTTCATGCAAATACAGCAGCACAGTTTCCAGCCCCCTAATAGCTTCTTACAAATGATGTGCCATTACAACGAGGTTTATTTAAACAAATTTAATACATCTTTAATCAAGCTGGAGAGCATTTTCAAAGGTCACGCTCCAAATCAGGATCACTGTTCAGAGCTTATCAAAGTATTAGCTTAAGGGGGAGGGAGAATTATTTCTTGGACAAGTAATTTTAGGCAAATCTTTATTTACATTTTTATTCAGTTATTAAATTTTATTCCTTTCCCTCCTCCTCCTAGTCTCCATTTATGAACCTATAAGAAAGTCTGTAAATGGAGCCATAAGCATATCACAGCAGTTACTATTTCCAGGGGCTATTCCTTTGAATCGAGTGGGCCCATAAAAGCAAAGATGAAGTCACTTTTTTTTTTTTTAAACACAAGCTCTGTGTATCCATTTCATCCAACAAGCTCTTGCCCGAGGATCTGATATTAGGATAAATACATTAGATATATTTGGAATTAAGAAAACAAGCTAAAAACAAATTTTGAGGATAATGGGTGTTTAAAGGTACTTTGAGTGTTCCTGCTGTGACAGGACAATTGTTGATGTTCAGTCTTTAAAACTAATGGGAGCTGCACTAATGGACCACAGGGATCCACCCCATTTCACACCTCTGGGATCATTCATTAGGTGTATATCCTTAAATAGGTCACAAATGGATTAACTGGTCCATAACCAGTCGTATGTGCATGTGTTGGTGTCTCCAGTGTCCTCTCTTTTGCCGAGTGCTCTTATTGCTCACCCTTGTGTGCATAAAACTCAATCCTTTGGCCTCTGCTTTGCAGGAGGAACTAATGAGGCACCAGGATTAAAGGAGGAGTGAACCCTGTAAGCTCACAGACAGAAATACCCCAGAGATTTTAATGCTCATTAGGCTGAGGAGCCTTCAAACTTTTCCAAACGGGGAGGTAAAGCTGGGCATCTGTGCAGATCGTGAAAAGAGCTTGTGCAGGCTCTGTTAATTCTCTTTTTAAGGCTCACCTTGCAGCCAGGATTTGGGATAAGGTTAAAAAGGAGCTATGCTGAACTACATTCCCGGGCACTCCTGGAGAGCTGGTTTTGCAGGGCACTGATTTGCCTGGGTACTCTGAAGCACTGTTTTGTACCCAAACCTTCAATCCTCACCAAGAAATCTTTGGATCTAACACTTATGGCATCCACAAGGCAAGGGAGTGTACAAAATAAATAAAGCGTGCTCATATTACCAGGTTTTCAGTGTTTTATGGACTTCTGAGTGTCCCCCAAGGCTTTTGGCAGAATGATTGCTGCTGAAATCTATAGGTGTTTTCGGGATTCTGCGACTGCAGAAAGCAAATGTTACCATGTGATATTTAGGCAATAAAAATCCATGTGATACAGAATAAAAAAGAAGGCAGTTACCTGGTGGGGGTCAACAGTGAAACAGCCAAATTCCTGTGTTTAACAGTTAGCTGTACACAACCATCCTCTGAACAACAAAATATGCTCTCCCATATTCTCACTCAGGTACAATTTTAACATAGCCTGTTGTACTCTAACACCCAAAAAGTGCAGCATCTTATTTCTAGAAACCTGCTTTAATGTGAGAGGAATGTGAATGTCTTTAAATCTGAAATATTTAATGGTCATAGAATAATTTACCCAAAAAACCTCTATTTTATTTCAACTTCCAAATGACAGCTTTTCACAGTGGTTATGGATTTTTATTTTGTGGGGTTTTTTTCAGTAGTCATGAACGATTTTTCAGCTTTGGTTTATATTTGACGTTCACCCTTTGTTCCTGGTGGCATAAAGGATGTGATATTGTTTCCTTTCATTGCTCAGAAGGGCCTTTTGAGAAGGAGGACTTGAAGAAACTTTGAACTTCTGAGCAAGTTTATAGAACAACAGCAGATCAGTAGAATTAAGAAGCATCAAAGGACATTTAACTGCCTGAAAATTCTGGACTTCCACTTTCTCTGTTGTCAATGGGACTGTGGATTCAAATCCCTTGGTTTCTGAGACTCTTACTTCATCTTCCCTTTTTTTCACCCAGATAAAGCATCCCTTAGAGAAAAAAAAAAAAAAACAATGGAAAAAGGGGCTACTTCATGAAATGTGATAACTTCATGTTGAGTTTTATGTGGCATTGTGGTTGGTTGGTTGGTTGGGGATAGATTTACCTGGGAATCAGCTACCGATGCAGGGAATTCAGTGGGGTGAACAGTGTTACCCCACAACCCTCCTGTGGGAGGTGATGCACAAACACAGGGGGCTTCTAACAGTCCAAAGGTCGTGAAAAAGGTGAAGAAATAGGTGGAAACTACCAGAGGTAGCATGGAAAGTTAATAAAGTTTGGCAAACCTTAGGATGGACTAAACATACTGGCCAGAAAAAAATGTTAAGGGGGAAAGGGCAAGGGGAAAGCATAAATTTTGGGGACTGTACAGCTGGATGTGAGCACACAAGGGCATCAGAACACTGTGGGTAATCTCAAGTCGTATTTGCAACAGCACAGCTCCACTCTGGGGAGCAAATCATAAAGGAACACTTCAAACTCCTACATTTTTCCTTTCCACTGGGCTTGTGTTGGTGGTGATCCCTTTGTCTGCAGTGAGAATCCGCTTTAGCAATGCATATCTTTCCTTCTCTTAGCAAATAAAAGTTTCTAAGAATTTCAGTATTAGCTCAGTCTTCGTGATATTGTCTAAATGACAGGATTGGCATGTGGTTTTCTTTCATTTCATATTTGTGCTGTGCTGGATTTAGTTCCCTTTTTTTTGTTTTCGACATTTCATGTGTTTGTTATTTGGAAATCGGTTCTCAGGAATATTTTGTTTGACCATAATGTGCTGCTTGCTCTCTTTTTGTTCCCAGCTCACAGCAGGGAGGGATCACTTGTGCTCATAGCAAGAGTTTTGTAGCCCTGGTTTGACAGGCTGTGGTTCTTCCCAATACATATTTGGGTGTATATATTAAAGTATTCCTGCTGCAAATATTAATGTATACGAAGCTCTTGCCACCATTTGCAAAGTAGGAGGAGGATAAAATATAAACATAAGTTGGAAGCGAAGAAATTTGAATTCTAATCTCACCCCTAAAGATGTAGAGAAAAGGGGTAGTGATCAAACTCCATCTTGAACATATTACTGTGAAAATAAAATAAATAATAATAATAAACAACCCCAAACTACAATGTCAGTTTGCTCCTGGACTCAAAGAGTGGAAATGTATTTGTTAAAGACTGGAAATATTCAGTTTAGAGGTGCTTAGTGGTGCATTATTTTCTGTTAAATTGTATTTTTAAAAAGAAATAGGTTTAGAAAGTTTGAAGTTCTGTGGAATATTCTGAAATTTTCTAAATGAGTGGAGTATTCAACCAATCTGAATCTGTTCTCATAGTACATGTTCCAGAAACTGTGTTCAGCTCGGGGTAAAGATTTTTTTTTTTTCTTTTCAGAGCTCAAGATTTCAGGATGAGAAAGCTTATTTTCCTTCTCTTTTTGTTTTGTTTCTGTCGTTATTAGAAATATCTAAATATAACAGCTTTATTCAGCTCAAGGTGACTGTCAGCTGGTTAACTGGCTGTTAATCTCTGATTCTTTAAAGTAGCAAAGCACTTTGTCCATCAGTGGTGATGTTTTTCTGCTGTTTTGCATCCGTGGGGTTAAAATTCTGTGATTGGGGTTTGAGGAAAGAGAATCTAATGGCACAAATGGCATCGTGGGCACTCACTGGATGTGCAAGAATTACATCTTCCAGTGGGTTTATGCGAGTCTGACAATATTGCTAAAATTCCCCTCCTTTTTTATGCCGTGTGACAAAATTTGATGCGAATTAACTAAGTCCCCTTTTGATCTTATTTTGCTTCTGTTAAATAAGGAGTGGGCTGAGTAGAAAAACAAACAGCACAGGACTGTTGACACTGGAAACCCTAAGGGTTCCTTTCCAGATAGACTTAGTTGGATCAGTGTAAATAGGTCAGCTGCTCTGCAAACTGCATCCAGGGCCTTTCAGGACTGTAGGACCCATCAGGCAGTCGATAATTTTGGCCAGATAGTGCCTTAATATGCTCTGGTAGAGCCAAGAAGAGTCTTTTTCTCAGGAAATAACCACAATAGCAGAAATGTAATCACCCACATTTGTGCTCTGAGGGTAGTGTTCTGTCATGTACTGTGATAAATGCTGAACATGGATGCTGTAATGCTGTCATTTATTCCTTGTAATAATCCCAAGAAGTGATGGTTATTATTAACTGAAAGCTTTGAGTATCACAGCAGAGAATTTTTTTAACCACTTCTAAAAAAGTACAAAAGAGGAAAAATAATAATAATAATAACCAAAAGAAAAAATAACAAGTGCTCTTCTCAGTTGTGATGTTAAATTTACACTGGAAATTCTGAAATTTAAAGGATGAAAATTAACTTGCCAGTGCCAGTCAAAGTGTATTGCACGACACAAAAAAATAAAATGGATATTTAACCAGGAAGAAAGCAACAGGAAATGAAAATACTGGATAAGATGGGAATATATACATTTTGATCAATGTACTAAGCACGTGTATATCCCAAAATAATGATGACCTGGTAAAAAAAAGCAAAACCACCTCTGTAATATGATATTGATCTTGTAACAACATTTTTTTATTCTATTAGTGCCCTCATACATCTTTTTTTGTGAAGTTCAAGTTTATGGCCTGTGCTATAATGGAAATTTCAGGACTTTCTCTTAGTTTTCTTATTATGAAAAGATTTCAGTCATTTTCCTCTTTAATCATACACCCCCAGAAGTGAGGGAGAGAGAGAAATGGGGATTATAAGTGAGTTTCAGCATGTGAAAGAAAAAGACTATATGTCATTATAAACCCAAACAAGCAATGTTTATCATGGTTATGGTATTCAGGAATATTACATGTTTTTTGGAGGTTTTGTCTGATGGGTCAGAGAGATGTTTTGGGTGAACTCTGGGTTTGTCCTGGAGGAGATTTGAGGTACTGATGTTGGAATACCCACATCACATCGGTGTAGAAAGTGCTTCACAGCTTGCAAGCTGCAGGGTTTGCTCTCCAATTTACAACTTTGGGTCCTGTTCTGAATTCCCACAGTACCTCAGTGAGGAATTCTGATAACGTTCACCACACATGTATGAACATCTGTCCTTCAAAAAAGGACACTTCTGCTTTTCTTCCCATCTCTTCCTCTTCCTGAAGGACAGAAACCAGTGGGTATCCATTCACTAATTGTGCTAATACAAAATAAAGAGTTTTTCATCTGATATATGTGGTCCTAGAGAGCAATTGAAGTCCAAATGAAACACAATTTTTATTTCTGTAGCCCCACCAGTGATCTTGTGCCTTTTTCCCTGGCCCAAACTGATTTTTACAGTAACCCAGAATGTCTGTGTTTTCTGTCCCAGTGCTAAAATCCAACCTCCACACTTGACCTAAGCTATGTTCAGTTTTTCTCCCTATAGTTGCACAGATTTGGGGGAAAGCTTCAGTTTTCCATAAGCTTTTCCATATAGACCTTCCCTATCACCTCCTTACCATTTTAAATCTCTGGGGAGATCATGTCTCTTTCCAAAATCTAACTGACTCAGTTCCTGCAGTATTTTCTTCAGAAAAAAGAAAAAAAAAACCTGGTTTTTTTCCTCATTTTGACTCTACACAAATCTTGAGTTGCTGGGTATTTTTTAACTTAATCTCTAGTTTTGGAATGATAGGCCAGTTGCCTGTCTAGTGATAAGTATTGCTTTTTCAAGATTATGCTGGGAATAATTATTTCTTGAGAACCTTTTTTTTTTTCCTTGCAAATCTCTCACACATTATTTTCTCTCCCACCTGCTCCTCCTCCTAACATTGTGTGTCTAATATTTGTTCAGTGCCAAGCAGGATAACTTGTACCTTCTCCCATCCTTCAGCTGAAAATCAGTTTCTTGGTGGGATTTTGAGGTTCCATGTGTGGGATGCGCAACTTGTTTGCCACTGATGAGAGAAAAACAAAGCGAGGCAGGAGAAAATCCAAGTTGGATGGGGCTTGGAGCAACCTGGTCTAGTGGAAGGTGTTCCTGACCGTGGTGGGGACTTGGACTAGATGGGTTTTAAAGTCCCTTCCAACCCCAACCGTTTTGTATTTCTATGATTAAATAAACCAAAACCAAACTCTGAGTGCATCAGCAGTGATCACAAAAAAAAAAAAAAAAAAAGAGGTATTGACAAGTGCTTCAGTACTTGTCTGAAAGGATATATTCCTGAATTTACAGTAGCAGTGACAGCCTGAATAGGAGGTGAGGAGGAAACAACTCCAAACCTCCCCAGGTTGCCAGGGTGGGACTTCCAGACATGGGGAAAGCAGAGCCAGGAGAAGGGATAATCAGTAATGCCCTCATTGCCTTCAAGACAGTAGCAAAATGCTCTCTCAGTGGTGTGAATTTGTTCACTGAGGAGCTCAGGATCACACGCTGAGGCAGAGGATGTTAATAGACACGAGTAGGCCCACTCAGAAAATCTGTGTTCAACCATCAGTGAATAAGGAAGGGAAAAACTGTCCTGAAATGCCTGGAAACTGGCTGGCTAAAGCCTTCAGGAATTAGCTGAGGGAGGAAAAAATACCCTTTGCTGTAACCATCCCTCCCACCTGAGGTTCCTGAAGTGCCTCACAGCTATGAATGGAGGTTGAGGAGACCTTTGAAGGGTTGTTGA